GTAAGCGCTTTGTAAATCAAGGGGATGGGGTGAAACGGGAAACATATTTGATGGGACCAGAAAGTGATAACGGCTGATAGGAGCTGATAAGGAGCGTTGGAAGGCAAATGTCACTGAAGTTCTTATCCAGATGTGGGATAAGAAAACATCTCATTTTTCGCGATGTAGTCGTGATCCATTCGACCGCTAATCTGCCCGAGCTTCTAATGGTCGGTGTCTGTGGAAATACGATAAATATTGGTATTTCTATCTCATCACCGGCATAAGAAGTTATTCGACCGCTAAACCATCCCAGTATCCAAAGCATGGTACGCTGAGGGCTGATAATAAGCAGCCCAAGTAATTGTATTAGTTATCCAAAGGTCATTCGGCTGCTAGACTTTGTTAGTTCTAGAAAAATGATGGATGTGATTACTCAATACAACAGCCCTTCTAAACTTAGTTCCGTTGGAGCCTACGTTAACATGCGCGCGATAGCGAACGAAGCCAAACTGGTATGCCTATGGTAGTTATATCACGGGATATGAGACTCGTCCCAATGCACAAATCATAGTGAGGGCTCCATTCGCTAAATTTTTTTAGAGATTTTTCTTAATCCCTGCATCCCTGACCACCTCTACCTTAGGTTTAATGGGCTGTCTTTAATCGTTAAATCCGTTCTCAATAATTACGAACTCCATTATTCAAACAATCTTTATCATACCAGTATTACGAATAATCAGTGAAGCTAATAAGCTTCGAGACAATACATGATCAAACAATATAAATAATTAAGTTGAAGAGAGACCATGTAGTAAGCAATAAGATCATTGGAACAAATTTTTAAGAACGATAATAGGGTTTTCGATGCGCTGCATTATCACGACGTCTTTGTTGTCACTTCAGTTGTGGTTGGACACCTGTCTTCTTCTTTTCTTAGTGGGAGAACGTTGAGAAGCACTTGATGGAGTATTGGCCATATTATAAAGTAGAAGATATAGCCGATGAAGTAAAGAGATTTGACAGGCTGAACAGTAACTGTAGGATACGATTGAATGGGATCAACGACTTCTAACGCTTTACCTCTAACGTGAGTAGCGGCAAAGTGCATAGATTCTATTGGAACGTGACAAGGAAAGCTCTACTAGCCGTGTATTCATAGCAATATCTTCCCTTATAGCTAGATTTGAAGGAAACGGATGTGCTAGCCAGTGCAGCGAAAATAATCAGCTCCAATGGTAATCAGCTGTCATTATGAAAGGTTCCACTGAGGTCAGGGCCACGGCGGAGGGCTATTTATATGAAGAGAAATCTGCTCCAGCTTTGTCTGAAAGGCGGAGGTGGTGTACTGGCAGAAGGTGCCACTCCTCACGCGTACGGAGTGCGTTGCGCTCCCAGAATCGCCAGAAGCATTATCATTTCTGAAGGAAACCATGAGAACATTTAGACGCTTACCCCAATCCAGTATTTTGTTTTCACCAAGACCGAACGACAAAAATCCGAATCCTGCACTGTAGAGCAAATTCAGTCGTCCAAATACCCACAAAAATAGACGCACTGATGGTATTTTGGTGAACTGCGTCAGCTCAGGTGATCGACGAACAAGGGCGTACACCTGAAACGGTCGGTCTCCCTCCATTTGACCAAAAAACCTCATTTATGAATTACAGGTGTGGAGAGGGCAGGGAATACGATGAGAAAAGACGGAGCAATTTCGGTGGCGTCATTAGATGCCATTGTCAAAAAGATCCCTCAGAGCAGTGACGGGTCTGTTGGGACCACCCACCAATGCCCTTCCATCAATGACGCTTTATGACGTCATCATAACTGCATCGCCGTTTTAGTTTTTTTTTTTGACTAGGGCAACCAAAAATGCTGAAAAGAGGCAAATGAGTAGCATCGTAGAGCACTTCTGCCTTCTTCTGGTACACATATCGCGGACCTCAAAGCAACAGGCCCATTAGTGTTTTTACCTTCAACATTAGTGATGTGGAACGATGCGCTAGCCCTAGCAAAGAACATAAAAAGCGTAACCGAATAAAAAACTCGCTGAAAGCGCCGAAGGGAGTGAACACCGAAGATGGGACCGTGGTGCGCAGTTACCCTCGGGCCTATTCAACCAGCCACTTCGGAGCCGTTTTAAGCTCACTTTAGCGTTTTCAGAGGGTTTTTGGCAATAAGGGCTAGCGCGTTTTCATCGTTAGTCTGAAGGTAATTTCTGTGGGCTGTTGTTTGGAGAGTCCTTCCCCGAAGAGCTCAGCTGAACATGAGTGTTATTATCTCAAATTTTGCTGGGCTGAAACTTCAGATTTGTGTCTATTATTTGTTTAATTTGAGCCTTTAGGTATTCCAGATTACTGACATTTTCAAATGTGGTCAACGTATACTTACCAGCAATTGTTGTGTGATATACAGGGGGGGCCAAAAAAAAAGAGTCACTCCTACTCACATTCAAAACAGAATTAATTACACTTTGCCAAAACCAAACCGAATGAGCTCAATTGCATATTGAAGAGCACATTCTATTCTATCAAAAACATTGCATAGTGGCCTTCTAAACCGACGACACCAGAAGATTTTCCCACGGAAACATGGTTCGCGGTACGAGCTCAACGGGGTCGTCGAGAAACCATAGATGATTACGACGTCTCTGAAACGCTGGTCAAAAGCCATTTTGCATAGTCAGAGCTAGTGTCTCTAAGAAGTCATTCACCAGTTATCCGATTGAAGAATTTATGTAGCAGCTTCAGAATGGAGCGATTATTGTAGGCCTCCTTAAGCTCGACGGTGATGACAGATGACGTCATATTCTGGAGACGGTGAACGCAGCGAAGGTGGGCCTGATTTGCTTATGGGAGGACATCTAAGGAATGTATCGCCGTATAAACTCCCAATAACAGCGGCATCCTTTGCGACGAAAAGTTTGATGATATGCGCCATAGGCAAAGTGACTCTTTTTTTTTGGCCCCCCTGTATGTGCTTGTGTCGGTGTGTGTATTGGTTGTGTTGGTGCGTGTGTATGTGTGTGACGAAGGCTTCCCACAAGCAGCAGTTGGAATCTCTTCGCCCACACCCATTTCGCAAATTATAATACCAAACGAACGTTGTTCCTGGCCATATACAGCAAATTCTAGCGCGAATTTTAGAATAACCTGATGGGTAACATGCAAAAGGATAAATACTGGCAAGTGATAAGGTTGCAGCGGTTTTATTTATTTCAACCATTCAGCGGGACAGAGAGAAAATATTGTGAATAGTGAATTTTACCTATTGATAAAACAAAATATAAAAGACCCCGCAAATTTTAATATTTGTTGACCCAGTATTGGATGCCACGGTATCAACGAACTGGAAGATGAATTGATTCTACACAATTTCCACTTTCAATCTATGTCCAGAACAGCATCCATTAACGAGACAGTCATTTATCCAAGTAGTCGCATTTCTCAAATATAGAATCGCCGTACAATTTTTTGGTATATGTTCTTTCTGTTGAATAGGTGGGGTGGCGGGAAGAGCCGCCAGCTGGACAACTGATGCGCGACAAGTGCGCGAAGGACATGGCCCAACCGCTTCATCCGCTTCAACTGTTCCTCGTACAGGCTTCCAGTGCGTCTACTCTCTCGTGAGCCGTACCCTAATGCACCTCCTCGCTCATCCCCGTTGCGTTTCTTCGTTGTGCCACGACCGAACTCATGAAAAATGAGCTATCCAAGTCAAGCATTTTTGGTGGTTTCTCGAGTGCATATCTTCATTTTGAGCCAATAGTCTCAAAGTTCAGTCGCAAAGTTTGCCTTTGAGGGGAAGGAGTTCGAAGTTCTCTTCACCGACTTTTCTTTCATTCTATTACGTGTTCCATCATTCAAAATAGGCCGAGCCTCTCCTTAAAACACATTTACTGTCATTGTTCTTCACAGCATGCTAAATAACTCTTCCTTAGAGAAAGATTTACTTGTTTAAAGTCGCAGGGCAATGCGATGAATAGTAAAGAGTCTAATCAGGCCAAAGCCCAAACTGCCATTCCTAACATGAGCCCAAAAGCGTATAGTGCAATGTCAGGAGTGTCCAACGGTAGAATTAAATAGTAAAAATAAAGAATTACAAAGTAGTCTGCCTTGAAGTAACTGAGAGTTCGAATAAAAAAGGCATGGGAGAAATGGGGGTTTTGAGATCATCGTGTGCTCAAATTGCTCGGGAAGGGAAGTTTTCGAAAGGCAAAAGTCAGGATTAGGCGACCAATCCCTTTCATCATCTCTGTGCCTGGTTACGCACCCTTGAAGACGTTGCCACGCTCAGAATCCCAAACGGCGCGGCAATAAAGCCCCAGGTGATGCATTGTTCGCTATCGCCGCCTGGCAGGCGCTAGACCGCCCACTCCGGAAGTGGTGCGTGGCTGGCTAACTACAGTTTAGTCTCCGTCTAAGGGCACGTGCGAAACGGAGACTAAACTACTCTTTGAATCCCACCCCCTAAATAAATTTTGAATAAAACATATAAAAATATTGAGATCGAAAAATAAAAACAAAAACAGTTTAATTTTACAAATAAAGTTTAATCATATATAAAGCCATTACTTTTATTGTAGAAGAAGCTGAATGTCTGCCGTAGCAGGCCGGCACAGTAAGCCAGCAATGAACCGGCATGTCGAAAAGCTCTTTTCAGACGTGGTCTCCTCCCGAAAAAAGACCTCTTCACAGCTAGGAGGAAGCGATCCCGTTTCGACTTGCTCGCAGTTTTCTTTTCGCTACTTTCTCCACTTGCGATTCCCTTCGCAGCTCTCGTCACGTCAGTTCAAACGCCCATAATAGCAATATTGAAACATCCTGTGCCTTTACTGTCTTGAGAGCGAATTGTTCAGGCGAATTGGACTAACATGCGCCGAAACCTTTTTAGGACTGACTTTGCATATTCCTACAAGTTTGTAGCTCTAGCGAGTACAACGCTAATAGAGCACTCCATATATTTCATTCCAGCTCAAACTTCTGCGTATTCGTGGATGCATTCAGTTGTTCCCGTACACCAAATTTTACACAAGTTTTGCCCCGCCGATAAAAGGAAATATACTTCCGATTAATCACAAGGAACTATCAAAAGCTGCAAGGTATACCGTAATCATCCATATAGCACAGTATCTGCAAACAACTATCCGGAACCAAATCACTGCCCATGTCCAACGCCAGAAAAACGTTTGCTTTCTGAAATATTATCGTCTCGAAGGCAACGGTGTTTTTCATCTTTACATTACAATTGTATGTTGCTATTGCTATCAATCTGCATTACTACAGAACAAAAGGAATGGTTTGAAAACCGAAAAACAAAACCTACTTTCATACGATTTGGCCGATCTCTTCACCATTAGTGTTCGTTGATCGTATTAACATTGTATAATCAACGCAATCATAGCCAGTGCTTTCTGGTGCCATGCCAGCAATGAAGTCCGAACAAAGGCATCGATGAAAATACTGGATTTAATTCCCAAGATATACGCCGTGACATCCCTTCAATAGCAGCGGTGGAGTTCTGCCGAACGGAGGCGTTGTGAGGGTACTTTGGCCGCCTCCCACCGTTCATCTACAATCGAAAGCCTACAACTACTTTCTAATGTCAGACGTTTTTTATATTCGTATAACTTCGTATAATGTATGCTATACGAAGTTATTACGTAACAAGAACAAGATTAACAAAGAAAATACAGCGCCGGGGAAAGGAAACTCTTGACAACATAGGCGAATAAAACCAAATTGAAAGAAAACACGCTAGTGTGTTATTGAACGGAATTTAGATACTGAGATACCTTGGTTTTGAATGCAGAAAAAAAAGCCTGGTATTTGAACTTTTTTGCTCATTTTCAAGTACTCCACCCACCTCGGAACGTAAAGAACCTGCGCCCGAACGAAGAACGCGGCTGTCGAAAAGTAAGCTTGAACCTCTCACCAGTCTGGCATTGTACCAGATTATTACCATGTTGCGACACTATGATCAACACGATATTGAGCATATGCCTGCTATTTTAAGCCCTACCTTTTCTCTTTCAAGTAAGGGCGGAAGTGGTGTAGTGGCAAGTGGCACGCTTACCACGCGAGCGGTCCGGGGATCAAATCCTGGGTCGTGAGTCGCCCGGGCCAACCAAGCCTTCCATCCCTCCGGGGTCGGTCAATTGGTACCAGACTTTCTGGGAGGCATAAATTATACATTATATGGATAAAACACTGACTTGAACATCGGCTGGCCCCCGCAAGTCATTGTATAGGCCACATCGCATTCAAATGCCACTGCGAATGTACAAATGGAAGTAGAATGCGTGCCGCATCCCAAAAAGGGATTGATCAACGGCAAATGCTTTATCCTTTATCCTTTATTTACATTGCAGTTTATTGTGTTTATGAGCCTGTAATATGGATACGGAAACACTAACGTAGTAAATCTGGAGAGTTGAAATAAGAATTCGGGACCCAAAGCGGAGCCTGCTAGATTCAATACCAAGAATGCAAGGCCGCCCAGCAAACGACATAGCGCTTCGTCACTCTGAAAAATGCCATAACGTGGACTGTCTGCTCCCCTTGATCTTGTAAAGTCACAAATTTTTAGGCATGACGGGGCGGCATCGGCCAGTGGGGGTGCTTCTGAGGTGCCACGGAC